AAGATGAAGGAAGTATCAACGATTCGCTGTCATAATTTTTGCACTATTATCTGGTTACTCGTGCCATTAAATATTTTCATTCGATACGAGTCATCAGGCATTTTGCTGATGGTAGTCGGCATGTTAAGTAGCAACAGCAAGAAAGTTCCTATTAGCAATGCTTAACCTTTACGTGCAGACGTGGATGGAACGTTTAAGTATGGAAATATGGAAATTACAAGTAGCAACTAACGAAACGATGTGTTGTGTCCATTTGTGTTTACTTGTTTAAATATCTCTCCGTAGCAATAGTATCGACCGAATTTCAGTGTTCATTTCAAAGCGAACGTGGACGTAGAACACGCATCGAATTCCTTTGTTTTCTACTGAATCGTTATCCGTAGAATCGGTTCGTCGAGCGCGGTTCTGAAAGAAATCGCAGGACAAGGGGTTAAACGATCCTAACGATCTCGGGAGAAAGGGGCGTTCTCGTGACGTTTATCGCGCGCCGTTCGACGTCCGCCGACCGGAATTTACGAATCCTTCCCGAAGAGGTTGGCACCCTTCCAGATTTCCCTTACGCTTCGACGAGCGTGAACTCCGTTGGACGCGTCTCGACTCGAGTGGAAACATTGTTGGCCGCGAGTCGGTCGCATTTTTCACCGGAAACGCTTCGAACCTCCGCCATTTTCTTTCCAAGGATGAACGGAAGCCGGTCGACGCGCTCTCCGAGAAAACGGGATCTCGTCTTCGCGTTCGATAGAAATTGTTAACGTTCCACCACAGATCTGTATACACGTTCGTCAATCTTCTCGATAAGCCGAGTAAATTATCAGCGAATGTTACCGCACTACATCTAACCGACGTTTCCGTGTTCCCGAACGTGTAACTGGTAAGTCCAGTTATCGCTTATGCGAATCAACTGAATAATTCACGAACGGTATCGATTCGATGGAACATAATTCGGTAAATAAAAGATCGGCCAATTACGTACATATTTATCCGTTATTTTTATCGGAATAAAATCGACCGCCTTTCAATTAACCTGTACCGCGCGCAGCGTATCATTATTCTCGCCTAGCGTGGCCAATCAACAGAGTCAACACCGCCGGGGACGTGAGCCAAGAGTGTCCAGAACTGAATCTCTTAAATGGAAACGACAAGTTAACCCGTCATTCGAGTTCCGTTGAGTTTATCGATGGTACTCCGTTATCGCGTTCGTTCGATAAATAACATTCGCGTTTCGACAAACCGTAACGCCCGTACCAACGCGAACCGCACGCAATATTCAGAGTATCACTGTATTAATTCAATTCGCCTCGAATTTCGCCGCCACGAGTGCTCACGCCCTGCTCTCGAACGGGTTACATTGGAACTCGATAATTCAGATTCTTCGATTGCGCCTCGGAATGTGTACCACCGAATTTTATTATTCTGTCACTTTATCGTCCCGATTATCAAATACCTGCATCCTCGATCGCCTTCAATGGTACATCGAATCTTTTATTTCAATATTTCACACATCGATGTATTCTACGAAAGTCAATATAATATATAACACTTCGTAATTTTGTCGTATCGAATCAAATGGTGACTGAGAGTCACCTCTCCAGTGCAAAGGGTTAATTTATCTGTGAATTATCGTTAAATTAGTTTCAAACCATGTCGGCTGTATTTCGTCGGAAAATATCGAATATCTCCTGCGCAGAAGCAAAGGGTTAAATACACTCCGGAATACTTCCCACCCCCGGAACCGCCGAGTTCGGATGACGGAGGTCGCGACGGTTCCAAGACGACCGGCGACGAAGAGGCTCGGAGGACGGGCGATAAGGAGCTGCGGCCGAAGCTGCGGACGAAACTGCCGGCGAGAGGGCGAGCGACGAGGAGAGAGGGGCGGCAGTTAGGTTATGAATTATGAGGCGCGGCGAGAGAGCGAGAGACCGCGAGAGAGACGAATCGAAATGGCTTAGAGGTCGTTACGAGGGGAGTCGGTAGGTAGGGACAAGAGGAAGACAAAAACCGTGAGCAACGATACGCGGCAGCTCGCGCGCGACTCGACACGAGGAAAAAAAAGCCCTCGGCCTCCGCTAAACGAGCGCGCTGCCCGCGGACGACGACAACGAGCCGGATGACTGAGGAGGAAGGCGACAACGACGGATGCGACGCGCGACGAATCGCTTTCGAGACGGCCGATCGAACAGGGTCGCGGCACGGAAACGATCCTCGCCAGAGTTCCCCCCGCCGGTTTCATTTCGAGTTGGAATCTCGAGATTTTTCAGGCGTCCAGCTTGAATACCTTACCCTCTCGCTGGAAATCGGAGACTCGGTAAAGTTGCTGAATTTTCTTCTCGACCGTCTTACGTGGATAATCTACGATTTTGGTTGTTGATCATTTTTGGAGTGTTTCGGAAGGATCTAGTATACGCGATGCACGAGACTATCGATGCGAGACGTTGGGAATTTTGTAAGAAAAACATCTGGTATGTTTCTATAGAAGGGGTGAACTGTGAAACAGGGCGAAATTGAACGCGGCGCGCGTGGATTTTGCGCGGAATGAGTCGTTCGTATGGAGAAATCGTTGGAACGAAAGGGTGTTGATGTATTAGGAGCTAGTGAAATATTCTCTCCTATAACGCTTTCCCTTTGTATACACGCATCAGCCTACGTTTGGCTATAAGTCAGCCGTCTGTATCGCGCTCGGAATTTTTGTTGCGCCGACGTATTGCGGTACAGTTATCGATGCGTCTATTATCTGTATATATTCTCTGTGTCGCTGTATATTATCAGTCCTTGACACCGCGACGAAGCGGGCGACACTCCGGGATAAATTTCCTGCGAGACACGGCTCGCTCGAGAGCCTCGGGCTATGTTCTATACTCGTGTAGAAAAAGGGGATGTATCCCGGTTAACTTGAAATAAATGAAATTTCGAGGAACGCCGGGAAAGGAGGAAGAGGCGAGGAGGAGAAAGAAGCGAAGGCGAAAAACTAGACGCTCCGGGAGGACCCGGGGAGAGAGGGAGCCAGCCGAGCCGAGGTAATTGCCAAGGCATCTCTTCGCACCTCATCATCGTCATCAGCGGCCGGCTCGTTCGCTCGCAGTTGTCGCGGCCGACGAGGGTGGGTCACCGGACCACCCGTTACGCGCTTTGAAGCCGGTCGATCGGCCGTGTTTTCTCCTCATCGAGGCTGGCTCCCGTATCTCGGATTCTTCTTCGTTCGCTCGTCAAGGATCGCGGAGGGTATTTTTCTTGTCTGGCCTCGGTGGTGCTTCGTGCCAGACGCGCGCTAAGAGATGAAAGGCTCGCGGACGCGGGCCCATTGTTCGCGTGGATCGAGGGATAGAGAGAGAACGACGGCAGAAGGGAAGAGTAGAGACATTGCTAGAAACCTAGAAGAAAGAATTGGAAGGAAACGGAGAAAGGAAGAGAAGCAGAAGGGAGAACAGTATGAAAGAGAAAAGGGGAGAAGAGTGGAGAAGGGACGAGAATATGAAAGCGATAGAAGAGAAGAGTTGGAAACAAGGGAGAAGAGAGAAAACAAGGAGAAATAATAAGGAACTAAGAGATGAAGAGTCGAGACGAGAAGGGAACTGAAAAGAAGTGTATAGCAATGTAGAGAGCGCGAGACAAAATACAAGAGAGAAGAAGAAACGCGATAGAAAGAAAAGAAAGAACGAAGTGGAGAGTAAGGAAGACGCGACCTAGCTCGTCCGTCAGAGATATCGGTTGCTGCGCGAGGACACGAAGCATCGCGGCGCGGTTTCGACGGTCGGGATCGCGAAACGCATCTCCCTACCTTGTCCCGTTTCGTTGCGAAACCTGCTGCAAGCAGAAGAGACACCGCGGACGTGTATTGTCGTTCGCGGTCGAAAGGAGAGGCACGAGAAGAAGAGAAAAGGAAACCGAGGAAGCGGGGCGGGGCGAGGAGGCGACGAGGGGAAAGGAGGAGGAGGAGAAACGGAAGAGGAACGCGAGCAGCGTTGCTTGTCCGTCGAAGATCGCGTCCGGCGCGTAGACGCGGGGCACCGCGACGCTCTTGGAATGCGAACGAGCCGCGCACGAGCCGGACCACACATGAGGCCGCGCGCTCCTCCTAAACGACTATCGTAAAATACGATAATGCCCGTCGTTCTCGTGCTCCGAACCAGGAATCCGAAGTTGTACGCGCGCGAGAGAAGAATCGTCGCGGGGCTAAATTCACGACTCGCCGGTTACTAAATCGCCGGCATCGCGGCGCAACGCGTTCAACCGACTTTAGCGCCTGTGCACCGTCCGTTTCACGACAGTTCGCTCGTCGCGTGTTCAATTCCAAGCTGCTATCGTTACGGTTGCTCGTAATCGATCACCGGCGACCCCTCTTGCCTCTATGCTAAATCGAACGCCAACTCTGGTGCAACAGACGGCACACGATCCTCTTAGCTGCGCAGCGATTTTCACTGTGATACAGAATCGAAGTTCTGTTTCATAGAAAAAGGGTAAGAGAACATTGCGTCTTTGATCTTCCATCATCGTGGGCAGTTCGTTCGAGCGAACGATGCCGAGGGAAACTTCGGTGTTCGAAAATTCGATGTGCAACGAACGATTCGTTTAGTTTGACGTTTGTTGTGCTCGTTCTGTTGGCCCTAGAAGAATTGACGTCGATTCGAGCCTTGAAAATCGGAGATTGTAAGACGGACGATGAAGTACACTCGTGTAATTGGTTCGAAGTCGACTTAATCGTTTGCGGAGTAACCTTTGTAACGTTGGACGCGCGTGAAGTTGACGCGTCCCGTAAAGCTGGCGTTAAGGAACGACGCCGATCGAGCCTCGGAGAAGCGGCCGCGGGGAAACACGGACGAGTCGTATTGGTTCGGGGCCTCGTCCCGTGGAGAGAGCCGTTCGCCGAGGAACGCGCTAAAAAAAGCGGAAGGGCAGAAAAGAAAACGGGGAGCAACGGGCTCGGGGACGAGGGGGGAGGGACGTGTAACGCGTAACGAGTGGAAGAAGAGTAGCGACGGCGAGAGACGGAGCGAGACACTTACGAGTTGATTCTGATAGGCGGTGACAGCGGTGAATATGGCCTCGGGGAATATGAAGGTCTTGTGGGGCTCCTTCTCGAGGTCGGTTATCGGCTTGGCCGTGCCGGAGTCCGGTCGTTTCACCAGGTGGATCCTCGGTTGGTATTTGTGCATCGAGTTCAGCACCAGCTGCAAATCACACCAGTTCGCGCGATTCGTTAGAGGACGACTCTTTCGAGGACGCCGTCGAGAACGACCGCGTCCGGAGGATGATCACGGCTAACGATGATGGAGGGAAATGTCTCCGCGCGAATAATCATATTCGGCTCGCGTTTACATATTATTATACCGATTATTCTCCCGCGGCAGAGATAAATAGAAATGATTAATTACCCGACACGATTTTTACGTTATATACTTAAGCCACGAACATTTCTGTCGTCTCTCTCTCTCGACGATACGTTAAATTTTGTCGTGGATACTCTCTTTCTTATTCTCTTCGTAATCGAGTCATAGAGAATAACGAGCTATCGAGCTGTTGTTTATCCATCAGAACGTTCTATGGTTTAGAGGAGTTGGAATTCGAAAAGGTTGCACGCTTGCGAACAATTTGCGACGCGCTAAGGTCCCCGCTGTCTTCCTAGCGGGTCGCGACAGCGCGGATGAAGGATGGTAGAAGGGTGACACGAGTCGAGAGGGATCAGGAACGCGTCCCGGAATGAATTTCCGATCGCGGACCCAGCAACGAGAAGATACTCACGTGGCCGTGTCTGTCCATGTCATTGTTGGTCAGCTTGACTTTCTCGAAGGAAACGACCTGCTTTCGTAGCTGCTCACCCGTAAAAGGCGAATCCGGGTGGACGTAGAGGCGCGCGGGTGCCGGGGGATCGGCTTTCCCGGCTACCAGCCAGGAACTCCTGTGATAGGCGTACCGATACCGTTTGTTGTCCACCGGGACGATGTCCATCAGAACCGCGTACCGACTGTCCGCCTTCAGCCCGTTGAACGACACTCGGCACGTCGGGAACATCCTCCTGCGAACCAAACCGCAAACGTTCTGTGCTTTAGCTTATCCCTTCCCTCGGGCTTCGAGCACTCTTTCCTATAACCTGATCGCTGAACCGGAAACTTGCAAACATTCTCCAGCCAAGCTTATCTCCTAAAGTTCCTACTATTTTAAGAAATTTCCTCCTATACTCTAAACGCTGCAGGGATGGTAAACGAAAAGATTCGAGATCCAACATTCTTTCTAAAGGAACATCCGAGAACCGTCAGATGGACTAAAGCTGCTGAAAGAAGCTGAACTCGGTGTAGATATTCAATTGTTTGTAACGCATTCGTTCCACGAATTCCGATCTCCATCGTTCATCGAAAGCAACGAACGGAGGACGATTATTCACGGCGCGAGCAGATTGATAGTGTAATAGGTCGTATTGCCTGTTCAACCCCCGACCCCGTGGGACCGTGTCGCTGGAGACTCGAAAGGAAAGGACGCAGCGCTCGGGAATCAAAGTCCCCAGCCAGGATCTCCGGACACTCGGTCGCTGGAAAGCGGATCGTGCCAATTTTAGGGTTAACGCGGTGACGGCGCGCGGTGCGGCGGGAGGGGCAGCCGGTCGGCGCGGAGGATGAGGCTGGCGCGAATGTTTTGCCTCGGAGGCCAAACATTAATACCGTGTCGGGCCCCCCGCTGCTCGACCACTAAAACGCGGGGACACCCGCCGATCTTATCTACGTCTTCTCCTCGGTCCTTGTCGACTCGGTATGCATTCATCCCGCCAGCGCCACGAGTGTGAGTAATGCTTTTATTTATCAAGCCGTCCTTTGTTAATGAATTGAACTCGGCTCGCGGGAAAAGGTGGCCCCTTCGATCCACCCCGCCTCACGCCGCCCTGCCCCGCCGCGGCCACGACCCAACGGAGAACCGGGAGAGACAACCGTTTCTTTCTTCGCGCCACGGAAACCACCGGATTCTTTTTGCCCGAGTCTCGTGGATTAACTACCACCTGACCGATTCTGACGATTTTTTAATACGCCGCGGATGATGCTTCTAAGGTTAGTCTTGTTTTCCCGACGTAAAACCAGTGGAACAACAGCGTCGAACTAGGTGCATCCGAGCTCTCGGAAAGAGTATAATTACCGATGATAATGAATATTATATGTTACGATTCTTAACTACCGAGTTTCCTAAGTTTGTCTGTGGGAGCTTTAGAAATATATCTATCGTTACTTCGTACATACAATTTACTACAGCAATGTTTCTAGTAATATCTCAAATAACCATCTCCGTCCAATGATCCTAAAAGAAGCATCGAAAAACGAGCCACGGCATCCAGTAGCCTCAACATCGACCGCGACGAAACCACAAACGAAAGAGAACAAAAGAATCCGAGCAGCCCTCGCGTTACGCAAGCTCGAATCCCAGCAAGAGCCGGCCGTAAAGTCAGAGTTTTCCTCGCGCGAGCTGCAGACCGGCACGGAAACAAGCGACGCCGTTAATCCGAGGAGTTCGGCTTCTTTTCGTCGATCCGGTCCCGTGAGGTTCGCGAATTCCCGCCTTCGGGAACGTCCACGCCCACCTCGCGGCGAAGGAAACGTATCGAGAGGACGCGATCCGCGGGGATGGAAAAGAAGGCAGCGCGTGCGGAAGGGGATGGTCCCCGGTTCTGCCCTTCGGGTCTCAGCAAATAACGGGCGAAGAAGGGAGAAAATGCGGAAGTGGGGGTATCCGCGCGAGGGGCCGGAGGAGGGGATCGAAGAAACACGGCGGCGTGCGCCGGGTTGACGGGCGAAGGGGGCGACGAGCGGCGTCGCGACGCGGATCTAATTACCAACGCGCGACCGAGCGTGCACCGGGGTTGCGGAACCCCTTCGGGAGCCTGCGAGCGAGCGAGCGCCGAGGAGGAGCCGGGATGTTAGCATCGCGCCGCTCCGTGGCGGGCAATTAGGCGCGCGTCCGCCGCGTCGCCTCTCGTCCCGCCGTCGCGTTGCTCCGCTACTTCTGCCACGACCGCCGCTCGCTTCCACCCCTGCCAGCCAGCGCACCGACCCTCCCCTTTCTTCCCCGGCGTTCTCGCGCCGTCCAATTTAACCGAGTTCAACCGGCGAAGCTCGGCGATCCCGCGCGATAATTATCTCCGCGCCGATTACTGAGCTTCTTTCGGGTGATTTCTGTGCTGCCGGGACTTCGATCGAACTTCGGGAGGGAAACGGTAGCTGTCCTCGTGACAGGTTGGAATTCCAACTTCGCTACCTTTTCTGCTATGACCTCCTCGCGTTCACTGGTTTAAATGAGTACAGTCTGATGAAGTTTGATGGGTGAGCGCGGTAATTATCGACGCGGAGATTACCGAGCTTCTTCGGGGTGGTTTTCGAGCTGTCGGGTCGTCGATCGAATTTGGGGACGGAAATGGTAGGTGTCCTCGCGAGGGGTTAGAATTAGTGCTTCGCTGCCTTTTCTAATGTGAAAAAGCGTTCACATTAGAAATCTCCTCGCGTTCACTGATTTAAATGAGTTCAGTCTGAAGAAGTTTGATGGCCCTACGCGGTACTTATCTCTACGTCGATTATTAATGACAATAATGAACGCTGGAACGGGAAACGTCCTTGCAACGATTCCCATCGCGTCAGAATCTCCTGAAGATCTCGCGTGCTCGCCACTCGCGTCCCTCTTTTCTCGGTTTCCCAGCGCTGACCGGCAGGAACACGCCTAGTTTCCGTTCGCGTTGGTCCGACTAATTAAGCGACGCTCGATATAGCAATTTACGATCGTCCGCCGGCGTGCACGCTTCTCTCTATAGCTTTTCATTCGCGCCTCGTAATTCCTTCTTCGCGTGACAACCTCCCGAAATCGAATATTGAATTCTGGACGCGTCGTTTGGCGCGACGTTTAGCAAAATTTTCACTTCAGAACACACGGAAGATCCCAGAATTAGTCCACAACTTCTTGAAACAAGAGTCTGCCATTTGATTTACCGAACCCGCCGAACTTACGAATATTAAATCCCACAAACATTATTCGGTGAAAGTTGATATGAATTCCAATCGACGTAAATATCTTAAAATTCTTAAAACATCAAATTTAATAGCGAAACAAGTTGATCTCATTCGAAGAATCGCCGGCTGTCCAGTTCCCTAAGAATTAGTCGGCGCGTGACGCGTCGGATGTCTGATCGAAACGCTATTTACCCCCGTGGAAATGAAATGAACAGCTGAAATATTCGAATATCGTCGGAAAGGCTCGAACGAAGCTCGTCTTACCTTCCAGTCTTCGTGATGATCATCTCGGTGCCCAACTCGTTAAACTTGTCCCAGAGATCTTTCGTCTCCAAGTGGCAGACCACGTGCCTGAGCTCCTCGCAATTGGACCGCTCCTGGAGAAGCGGGTTGACGGGGGACGCGGCCTTGCCGCTCGTGCTTCCGGTGTCGTCCGTTTCCGGATCGTCCTCCGCGACGATCGAGTCCTGGATCGGCGGGCCGCCGCGCGCCACACCGGACACGCTCGGCTCCCTCTCTGAAACCCACGCAACAGCGAAACAAAACCGCTTAGACATCGTCGAACAACGACACCGGAAGAGAAAGGCTGCTCCTCGACGATCGACGCGACACGAAATTACGGGCAGAAGGGGAGGTGCTCGTTTCCGTCGACGAACGAGACGCTTTGTCGTCGTTCGCTGCCTCTTTTCCCCCTCCCCGCACCCCTACCGCGAAAAATTCTCCCTAGCGACGCGAGTGTTGATCGCCTAAATGAAACTCGCTTATAATCGAGAGACAGCTCTCGACGTCTACCGAAACGGTACAGAGGCGAGAGAGGTGTGCTTCTAGTTCCATAGTTTCGATCGGTTATTGGTACGACCGTAAATAGTAACTTAACGATCGAAAGTATCGGTAGTTGAGAATAGAACCAACGGAAAGTTAGGCGAGAAGAATCGAAAACTGGTCGTCAAGCGAATAAATATAGAAATCATTGAACGAACGAATGGGTATATTAATAAACGAGCAAACAAATAATCCTGATTATTTAACGTAACTGAGATTAACGGAAAAAATTAATGAAAACTATGAAACGTGAGAGTCGCGTGAAGAAAATGACGACGTCGCCGGTTCTCGTGCGAATAAAGAGGAGAAGATGGGAATAATAGCCGATAAATCGATACATCGTCGGTAATTAATTGTTGCATAGTTATCGAGGCGAGAGGAAACCTTCGCAGTTTGCGTGCCGGTAATCTCGCGGGCATCTCTCTCCCGGTGTATTGAAAGGTTTCCAGCTGGAAGCGGTAAACGCTACGTAAATACAGGCCCGGCCGGCCGCGAGGATCTCCGGGGATGTTTTACGACTGAAACTAGCACCGTCCAAGAAAATTGCCGTTATCGCGAGCGGTAATCCGTCGCTAATGCCCCGCGACGCGCAGGCCCCGCGATACACGACCGCAATGAACACGATTTCGTCGTTAATTATCGAAGGATACCGGCACGGGGCTTGCGTAAACGCAATCACGCGACTAACGTCGCAACGAAGGGCGGGAAACGGAGGGAGGGACGCGCGAACGAAGAAAGCCTAGGCATTTCGTTCTTGAAAATTGAGAGAACGAAGAAGGGAACGCTACAGTTGCGAGTTTAGGATACGGAAATTTGCTGGACGAATTCATCGAGGGACGCTGTCAGAGCGTGCGTGATTATCTTGCATCGTTGCCTTTCGATTTTGAATTCTCGCGGGTACTTATTCCCCGTTTCTTTCACTGGGAACTTGATTGAACGCCAGAACTACCGAATGGATCGAAACGAGCTATTCCTGAATTTCTATTTTACGGTTATTGGAAAGGTAACAGATGCTTCTGTGAGAAACGGATGAAGAAATTGATTGGTAATGCGCGAGCTCAATAATAAATCAAGCGAAGTTTGAATAGATGCACTGCCGGAGTGTTTTTTCGAGGAATTTCGAAAGGCAATTTGATTGTGCTCGGTAGTTCTAGCGTTAGAATAAAATGTCGATTCTCGATCACCGGGATTTGGAAACTTAGATGTTCTTTGTAAGGCAATTAGATCGTTAAGTACGATAAATATTTTAACGGTGTCGTTCGCTTCGGTGAACACGTTAAATTGACTCGAGCAGTTGAAGAAGGCGTTACAGAATGCGTAGATTTTACTGTGCGGGGAATAAGATTGAGACGCATTGAAATTCGGCCTCCATTAACAGTTAGAGCGCTCCATTGACCTCTTATTCGCGAAATTCCGTCGGAGTTTTCCTAATTTCCGTTTCGCGGAGTTAATCAATTTGGTGGACGAGCGGCTCGTACATCCTCGAGGATGAAAGTCGACGCGCGAACAGCCTCCCGTCGAATTCATTCGTCACAGTCGCGTTCGCTCGTTAGCCGGCGTTTCGCCGGAACGCCGAGTTGAACCGCGAAACAAGGAATATCCTCAACACTGCCGATCACGAACAATCTCGTTTGGAATACGCTCGCGGCGGTAATCGGTCGATGCATCGCGGAGGTCAGGGATCGATCGATCGCATTCGTTGCACACGATCGATTTTTCGTCGAAACCAACGTTTTATTCAAATCAATGCATAAATTAGTCGTTATTACTTAACGCTAGAACCGACGACTCACTGGAATGAATTCGAATTTCTTCTAGGAATCATAATAGCGAATTTCTTGAGATTCCACTGTTTAGACTCGAAACTTGAGATACGAATGTATTTTTCAGCAAATTTCTTACGAGTTTTAATCTTCTCTGATCTTCTTTGTAGTCGATTCATAAAATGAGGAATAGAATCATTGCTGCTAAATTACTCGCATTACTATTTAGGACATCCCCCATCTCCTGCAAGAGTGTTCATTCGAAAACCTCACTACACAGGCTCACTCCATATCTCTAAGCAAATTTTATATATATTATTACAATCCCTTCAGACGTTTAACACTGTCAAAATGCCAATAATCGCGAAATAAGAAAACTGGGACGCGCCATTTTGACGGGTGCGGTAGCTCTAGCGTTAACGCTAGATCTACAGTCATTTACTGTACAATTTATCCCATCGCGTTCACAGAAATTAATATTCATCCATTGAAGTGCACAAAATTAGAAGTTTAAAAATAGACAATTAAAATACACATTTTCCTATCTGCATCGATGAAAATCGACCGAAAAGTTTACCAAATACGCTTCGTAGAATACTCGCAGCACGCGTCAAAAGATGCAACTCGCTTTCATTTTCGTTTCGCGAGCGTGCATCCGTTCGCAGGTTTCTCGAGCGATTCGTTGGGAAACGGGGATGGAATCGGCGTTTCGAAAGATCCCGATGGAGTTCGCGGGCGAATCGCGGCGCGCGTTCGGCTCCGTTCAAATTAATGGCCGGCGCGAATCGGGGCGAGTTTCACCCGGCTAATTGCCAACGGAGACGGAACGATTTCTTCCGAGGACTCGCGCGATTAGCTCTCGGCCGTGCCCCGGCGAGCGGCGGCAGGTGTACGTACCTGATAACTCGAAATTATCGCGAATAAATGAATAATAAATACCGGCCACTTTCGCGCGGGATTTTCGACGCGGTTACCTTTTACAGGCCCGAGCGTATTTCACTTAACGCGATTCCGTTCGCGGCACGCTTAAAAATTACTTTCGCTCGTTAAGACGATTCTGTTCGGTCGGAAAAGGGGCTGGGAAGAGAGAGGAATCGCACGCTCGCGAGAAAGAGGCAGAGGAGGAGACAGGGACGGAGAGAACGAAGCGGAAGGTAGGGTTGCACGTTTAAATGGATCTTCGGCCGAGTTTCCAGAGGTTCTCGCATCCCGTTGCGTTTCGTTTGGCCGCAACGTCTTCGCCCGTTAATCGGCTATGACGAAATATTCCGTCACACTGGAAAGACAATTCAAATAGGCGCGATGAATATCCGATTAACGAGTCGCTCGGAAGCTAAGCAAGTCCAGGAAAGGAAAATCGAGGAAATTCACGTCTTCTGAAATTATACGATACATTCGGAAGATATAAAAAGAAGGGCTTCCTGTTTATTCGTATCACGCGCGTTCTTTGTGATTCTGCACTTCGGACTTCCCGAGAAGTGCATAAAAATTGACAGTCTGATAATCGTCGGTAACTGTTACTTTCAAATTGCCGGAGGCGGTTGCTATAAGAGGAATTATGTAAAAACCAAAACCGTTTAGTAACATAAGTAGATAATAGCGTAACAACAGGACTCGCGCAATTTTCCACGGAATCTCCCAGAAAACGTGTAATTAAGAGCATAAAGCAAGACAGCCAGTTGCTCCCATTAAGCTAAATCCTCACGTTAATGATCCAAGCGTCTTCATTTACCCAGATTCTAGTAGCACAACATGCCCCGAAGCAAAAGTCGCCGCAAAAATGATCCAAAAATAGCCAAAGCGATTGTGAAAATGGAATAAACGTTTAAGGCATTGGAACAGTCTACTTCACTGATCTCCTATAACATTGATTTTTACATATTAATACTACTCGTATGAAACAAGTCTAGAATATTCCAAATCTACCTAAACTTCATGCATGCACGACGACGTTCTAGAAAGTGTACGAACGAGATGAATATATCCATACACATTGTCCTCGCAATTTCATTTAGATCGTTTTATCACAAGTCGAATAAAACTATTGTCCGCAAATAAACTATCCTGTTTCTCCTACGCAATCGATTCGAATCCTACCGAGAATCGAAGGAAACCCCGCGAAAGAAGCTTCCGAAAGGTGCACCGATCACGCGACGACGAAGAAGGAATTCGATCGAGTCGAAGATCGCGATCGATCGCCGGGGCGCGGCGCGAATTCCCGCGAGGTCGCGCACAGCTAATTGGCCGGCGAGAAGAGGTCCGCGCGATGTGTGGTCTAACATCCGCGTATTTTTATTCGACACGGCGAACGGCGGTGTTAAACGACTGACGAAACGGATGACGAGTCGCCGCGCCGGAACGATCCGTGGCCGCGCGTCTGTCGGCCGAGCCCGACTTTCGAGCGACTTTACGACCGGCCCCGTCAAGTGAGTTACGGTTGCGAGTGCGCGCTGCACCGCCGCATCGCCTGCATCGCCGGATCAAAGACGCGAACAGCGACAGATTGAAACGCGTCACGCCGCTAATGTCCTCCCACGATCTACGAGAACGACGATCCTCCCCTCCGCCCTCGCGCCGAGCGTCCGCGCGATGATTTCCACGCAGCGGCGCGGCTCGCAATCCGAACTTTTCCTTCCGACTCGCCGCGGAACGCCTTTGATTTCCGTCACCGGACGCCACCGATCGCGCTTGGAATCCTATTACATTCAACTCGTGAACTCAGGAGATGTTTGTAGCGGCGATCCGAAGCGTTTTAACCTCTTTTCCCATAATTCTTTACGCACCTGTGCTCGACGACGCCGCGTTATTGCGAATAATTCAGGAGAGAGAAGAATTTGATGGTTATTCTGGGTACGTTTGCTATATAGATTAAAGACTGATG